CTTAATCTTTTAGCAGTAAGGGCGCGGTCCTATTACGTCGTAACGTTTTATTCATCGTTGGACGACTGTCGCGTCTAACCTGTTCCCATATCACGACTATCAGTCGTGGCTGTGTCGTGGACGTTTATTTCATTGTACAACTGTCACGTCTAGCTGTTCCCACTAGATCGTGACGACAATTTATCGGTTCACGGCAACCGCCTTGTCGTTTGCACGACAGAACCGTATGAAGCTGCCATTACCTGTCGCCACATTTTTACCGCGACGTTTTGTTTATCATCGGACGACTGTCGCTCTAGCTTTTCCCATTGCCATGACAGACTGTCGTCGTAACGTCAAAAAGTCGTGAACGATTGGGTTTTGAAAGGCAAGGGCGCTGTTGAAATTACAGGCACATGGGACTTGTCAACTTATGTCTCAGGGTGTCTTCGCAGTGGCAGTGCCCGTCAGATAATTGTGATTTAAAGCTCTGAGTTGCACTGCAACTGTTACGGACAGGCGTGTCGCTTACCACCAGGAACACGACTTGTTCGTCCTATTACTTGGTATCATAATCTCTTATCATCTTAGTATTATTAAAAAAAAATCACGACACTTTAAACTGCACGACTATCTGTCATCACGACGTAATGTGAACGCGGCCTGATGAAAATTTCTAACAAACTGTTAAGTACACGTTGACTTGGAGTCTGCGGCGCAACTCTTTAATGAATTAACTTCCTTTAAATTGATTAATCTTTTGTTAGAAAAAAAGCATTGAACTTAAAATGATGATATAAGATTCCGCTAAGTGCGAGTGTACTAAAAGTTCCGTACAAACCTTTTATAATTAATGACCTTGGTGGGGAGACATAGCTAGATCAGGAGGTCTCGCGTTCGATTTCCTATAGGATCAATTTGGGGAAATAACTTTTTTAATTGGTTCTGGTCTGGGTGATCTCGGTAAAGTCTTGGAAGGATTCCTTTGCTCATAACATGGGGAAATTCCAAGTTTGATTTATTAGGAGATTATTTGATTCAATTGGTGTGGTTGTCTAGAACTGTGTTATTGTTATTTACAGTTATAATAATGCCTTGTTTATAACCACGGTTTGATGATCTCGGAGTTACGGATTATACTGTCCGTTGGATGAGGAGGTTCGATGTTCGATTCCCAGGAGGACCACATTAGGAAATGAACTTTTCTAAATTGGTTCTGGTCTGGGGTTTCTGGAAAGTGCTCCAGAGTGAATTCCGTTGCTCTGGTACTCATAGTACAGGGAATTCCGTAGTTTGAGATCGCACAATTGGTCTGGTTGTCTGGCACATTATTAATTACCAATTATACCAGTGCCAATTAAGAAAAATTCCTTTCCTCGAATTAGTGAACCGGGGCCTCTTCATCTAGCGCCCACATTATTAACCGAGAAGAGAATTTGGGACGTAAAAAATAGTCATTTATTTCCCTAATGATTGTTCAAAGTTACTACAAGTTTACCCATCAATATTAATTTCGGAAATTATTCAGGTATTATAAAACCCTAATGTCTGAATAAAAGTGATGTTAAGTTTTTTAAAATTTTACAATGATTTATGTACAGTGGGCTAAAGTGTCTATACTACCTGAGATTGTTTTAGTTGATTTCGCATAACAGTGAAGTGTTGAATCAATCGCTTTGGAGAAAATATATAGCAAAACTTAGGATATGATTACTATGTATATGGTGTGGAAGCACGATTTCTAAAAATTTTCTTTATAGAAAAAAAACAAACTTACCTGGAAATGTTACAAGAAAACCGCTATATTCATAGGTACTTTACATATACCAATGATTTTTTTATATATCTACTGAACTAAATAGAACACGTTTACTATATGCTCAATTTATATTGCGGCAGAACGGAATCGAAGCGAATTTTAGTAACGATGTTGTACATAGCATAATAAACTTTATGGTCAATTGTGTAACGTAGCCAGATACGAGCCTAAATTTTCCGCGGAGTACGCGAGCATTCGCGCACCCTTCCTCCCCATAACGTTAAGAATTATAAAAATAACTGAAGCGCAAGTAAAGTCACAGATATCACCACCAAAAATACAACCGGACACGTGGTTCGGCTCTACGTTGTTGATTGTACGACTCTCGGCTGAAAAATGAACTCAGCTCGCTTAAAACGGATAGGTCATGTTTATTCCCCACTATTACCTTAAAATTTGAAAATACCCGCAATAATTGCGATGAACATTCAATTGCCTCCGTGGCCGAACGGTTACCATGCCGGACTGCCACGCAGAAGTTCGATTCCCGGGCCGGGAGAAATATTTGTATGGCCTACATTTATTTCTCTCGTGAGTTTGGGTGTAATTTGTGGTTGTCTATGTGTGTCCATGGCACCCGCGACACAGGGTTTCCCTAGTGCGGGGCTATGTCGAGTGTGTGCGTTAAAAAAAAATTGTTAATTTATTATACATCCCCGGGGTATTGATGTATCTAATTATTTCCAACTGTTCGTTCTGAAACACTCAGGCCGCAATTTCGGAACGTTGTGTGGTGCGTTCAAGATTTACAAGATTTACAGTGTATGCGCAAACCTTCAACGCCCCGCTGAACGCATTTCCGTTGCGTATATATGGCCTCAGTCGTAGCCCTTTTCCGCAAAACTGTAAGATTTCTTAAGAATGGAAATGTGGTAAAATATGATTTGTTTCAAGAAACACACCTTTATATATAGTTGTAAAGTTACGCCGTGTTTGATCTATATACATTATAAATACACTGTTACATGTATTAAAGGTAAGCTAATAAACTCCCGACTTCTTTCCACTCTTTCCTTGCCATTGCAAAGTCTAGAGCGCAATTTGAAGGAATTTTTGTTTGTGTTTTTGCGCTCTCTGTATCAATAATAACATCAAACTAATGGAATATTTTCATTAAAAAAATTAATAGCGTGGTAGTAAAAACAAGATGATATTCAGCAAAATAAATATTACAATATGTATAAGAAGGTAAAGGATAATTTATTGTATTTAACAAACAATCCATTTAATTCAATGCAATCGGGTTGTAACATCCGGATAATAGGTAGGAGTGCAAATACCAATAATTACATTGTTTCATCACGTTTAAGCAACGCCAAACTTTAAAATCGTAAACATCGTTTAAACTACGGACCACGAGTTTTAAAACTTTAGAAAAACTAAAATCAATTTATAAATTTATTTTTAATATAATGTTTTTTTGTTAGATGCATACATTTATCATTCATGTTTTGAAGTTCAAGTTACCATGTTTTAGCCTCATGGAAGTAATTTGATTACCAGTGCAAAAAACGCGCATTTTAAATTGATGTACACTGCTCTACAACCATTTGCCATAATCTCAACTGATTGATGGTCGTTAACTATGTGGTAGAAAACAAACACGTTTTTCTGGAAAGTGTTTGTACATTCTAGAGTTAACAAATAAACTAACGCCGTCGATGTGAATAGTGTTTGCAATGCTCTTGTTTTGTTTCCTCCTTTGATTTAGCAGCAGTGGAGCTCCATGTGAAAGAGCTCGACCAGGGTACTACTGACACCTTACCTATTTCTGCCACTGAAGTAATATGAACATTACTGCATTTCGGTTTTAAAGGGTAAGGGGGCTGGTAAAATTACGGGCACGCGTGATTTTTCAACTTGTGTGTCAGGGTGACGGGCGCAGTGTCTGTGGTCCTTAGATCTTTGCGATTGCAAGCTCTGAGTAGGACTGCAACTGTTGTGGACAGGCGTGTCGCTTACCACCAGGGGCACGACTTTTTCGTCCAGTCACTTGGTGTCATAAAAAAAATAACGAAAACAAACAAAATGGCGACGTTTTGTTTTTAAGAACTGAAAATGTAATATATTCTTTGTTACCTTATGGAGTTTTAGCCAATGCTCAACAAATAAAGAGTTGTTATCTTCATTCAATTTCTACGCATCGTTCCGTGTTGATATTGTAAAATAAATATTTATTGTGTTACAAAGTGTCGTAATATTTTAATATCGTAAGGCAAATGTATTCCTTATTATACGAATATTTACTTTACGAGTAGGTACTGACGTTGTTATGACGCAAAAATAGCTACACAATTTTTGAATTGTTTTCTTTTATAAACTTTATAAAACCAAAGTAATGTTATAATAAATGCGTGAGTAACTTGGTCTGTTATATTTTAAAATCCATATAGAGATGATAGAGATAGATGGAATAAGTTTGAAAAAACTTTACGTCTGTAATAAAAGCGAAAACGAAGTTGTACGTTTTGCGTTTGCGTTCCGGAAGCGGAATACGCAACGTCGTTTTGATCTTTTTGCATACCCATAAGATACATTCTGACCGGCTGAAGTCAATCCATTAATAAGTGTGGTGGTTCCTTTAAAACACGTGTCACGTGTCAGCATGTGTTGTGCTTAAGAATAAAATTCATGGCATAATAAAATATTCAATTTAATTTAATTCTTAATTATTTACTTCATTAATATATTATTTACTTTATTAATATATATTTTCCGTTTATAAAATTAAATTTAATTGCTATGTAATGTAATAAGTAATGTTAAATTTATTCATGGGTGTATACATAAATAAAGAAACATTTTATTCATTTTATTAATAAAGCCAGATTTGATCATATTATGTCAAAAGTGCTTTTTTGACATGAAAGTCTTATATATAATAATTATGTATACGTGAAATTTTATAACTCTCCACGTTCTTGGATCCTCTCTCTCCTAAATAGTTGTCATTTTGCAGATGTGGCCATATTAAACGAATTGTAAGCGCGCGTTAGCAAAACGCCTAACGCTTGTATTAAAAAGTTTCTTTCATAGATTTAGTAAGATACAAATCTACGATTTCTTTCGTGTATTTTTGGTATTCTTTCATCGAACCCGTACTACATTTTATTCTTGCACCCTATATATTGTATAAAATTTGTTTTTCATTGTGTGGCACATTGTAATTTTCCAGCGCTAACGATATCAATCTTTTTTGCAGGTCATGGAGACGAAAAACATGATCTACATAGTATCTGAATACGCGAGTAAGGGAGAAATTTTCGGTAAGTCATTTTATACAATCAAGGCAGAGTATATATGTATAACATATATAACAATTTTAAAGTTAGAATTTGTACTAAAACCAGATACGTTTTCTTTGTTTTCCAATCTGCCGTGCTTACGATAAGAACAAAAAGTCTATAAGTATTTCAAATATACTTAGTGTTATTTATTTTTTACGCAGTAATTAAACTTGTGCGTGGTTGTATCGAACGTTGTAGGTACTAGCAGCACATACACAAACTTTTATAGCTATAAATAAAGCAATGGAATCTTTATTATATAAAAAAAATGTTGAACGAATTTAAATCTAAAAAAAGATCAGCAACAAGCACACAGAGACATTAGTTCGGTTTGCTGATTCGTTCCGTAGCTCCGTTCGGAAGGCGGTTTTGCCAAGGTCTGGCAAAAAGCCGAATTTTCGAATCCAACCGGATCGAAGGAATTTTTCTTTATGTTTGTTCGGTGTTTGTATTAATAATATTAAACGTACAATTTTAACAATGTTATCTCAGTCTTCTGTGAAATTACCATATTTCAATTAACAATATTTGGTAGGTACGTTGAAACCAATACTATCAATAAATTAAAATCTCGTTTTTTCAAATGTAAATTTATTTTCACAAAACTTCAAAAGCCATCTCCTGAAAGTTGCCTTTTTCGTGTACAAGGTAATTGTATTTTATTTTTATGATGTGTGTATATATACACAAACAACTCATACTTGTGAAAAGTTTTTTCTTCAGTTTGCATTCTGACGTAACGACGTAATGTATCATTTTAGACGTTCTTAGCTTAAAAGCTTGCCACATTTTCTCGAGCTCCACCCGTAGCAAACTTACGCATGCGAAATACGCGTTTGTATTGTATATAATATTATGTTTTGTGTGACGTATAAAGGAAAATGGTACCTTCTGCACGCGATGTGCACGTGGTACCGTTTTCCGCCTTCACTATTCAAAGGGTTCTGTGAAATTACCTATGTAGCAATATTCTTCTATAGTGCTGTTTAGACTCTTTTTGGGAATCGAACCGGTGTTTGTACTACGTATATCACAAGGCACACCTTTACTGAGCTATTCCAGTCTCTTTTTAAGACAAGCTTTTATAATTAATAACCTGTCGGTGACAGAAAGGACCCTCGTCACTCGAGCTCCCGGCCTGATAACACGCAATAGAAATTTTTTATTTATAATTTATTGGTTGGACGACACCCTGTAGCTGTTGCAAATGCCATTTAAAGACATTACGAATGGGTGTGAAAAACCATTTTAGAATGTATTTGAATGACTATTGACAAGGCTGTATGTGTGGTCGTCCATTTTGAATTAATGGAATTAAAGAGAAAATTTTAATAAGGATTTTCGCGATTTTGGCGGTTTAGCGATTGTATTCAGTTAAAAATTAATTATGAATTATTAAGTTTGTTACATGTACAATATAGCTGGTATGAGCATTTAAAAAAAATTGTTTACACCAGAAACAGGACCGAAAGCCCCTCAGTGTGACCATTTTAATTGTTTTATATAGATCGCACACGATACAAATCGGTAACTATTTTGTATAAAATGGCAATTTTGACGTTATAGTAAACGTAAGCATGGTCAAATTGTGGGCGGGTTTTAATAGTTACATTTTTTACACGAATTAATTTTTACATTATGTATATTACGTTGCGCGTTTCTTGATTATTTGTTACCATCAAGCTGATGGCTCTGAAGCCAATGCTTTATAAATAAATAAATAAATAATAAGTAGACGTAAGTAGCAGTAGAACTCCTTGTGAAAAAGTTCGTCCAGGGAAATATCTCAGGGTGACGGGCACAGTGGTAGTTCCCAAAAAAAAAAGTACATAAAAAAAAGCATAAAATACGTACTGCTATACGAGAATAGTAGGTTTTTTATATGCAATGTGCCTTATACTATATAGCTAATGCTAATGTTCCGAAGTTAATGGGGTAGTCATAAAGTCAGATAATTTATTTATAAACACCAATACATGTTTGTGTGATTTTTGCGTATGCTCCTGTGTATAGTATGGTAAAAAGGTTTGGGAACTCAGTTCGACTTCAATTGTAAATAGGTACGTTCTTACAAAATTCCATTTCCGAAAGGAAGATTTTTTCTTTGTACCCATACCCAATTATGTGGACAAACAATTTCCGCGAATACGTATGTACATATGTCTGCATTGAATAAAAAATGTTCCAGTTTATAACTACTTAAGTTGAGCTCTTTCCTCATCCGAACTTTCTATAATTTAATGTTTTTATTTGCGTTTTCACGGGTCAAACATTAAGTGTCGCAAGTCACTGTGTATATTAAAGGTAACTTCTTAATTTTTTGGCTCCGCCCGGAAAGTATTTCAGTCATGTAGGTTACTTTCTTTGAAAAGAAAATGGCGCCTGTGTCATATATTTTTGCCTATGTTACTTTTCGTCCTAGTTTCAACCGAGGACGTTTTATTTGAACAGATGTTTATTTTATGAGTAAGAAAATAAAGACAGTATATCTAGAGTCTTTTTTAAAAGAACCTTATAGGAAGTGAATTTACTTTTAGAACAGCTGTCTGCGTAATAAACTGCCTAACCATAGACCTACCAATAAATGGACGTCGGGGTCGCGCTAAAAAGTGTCCGCACCTATAGGGCGTTAAAATCGCATACCGTCTTCATTTCAATGTTTTAGTTTTTTATATTTCGTTCCATGTCACTACGGTTGTATAGGTTTACTTCGGACATTTTTTGGTGTATTTTGTATTAGACCCGACGTCCATTTGTTGGTAGGTCAATGTGCCTAACAGAAATTTATTATTAATCTTTCTCGAAGAAAGTACTGTGACGTCATTAAAGACTTACGGTCGCGTTGCAACGTTTTACTGGCATTTTTATCGTAACTAAGCACGATCTTACATAGCTTTGAAAGACGATACAGTCGCTGCCCTAAGATACCTGACCCGCTATCCGATTATTTGGTTCCGAGTATATTAGTGTGGTATGGAGTATATTAGGTTATAAACAAACTTAGCCTTAACTCGTGAACCGTCAAATTTTTTTATTACTTATTATATTATTATATAACTTTCTTTGCGTCAATAGTGAATGAGTTTTAAGAATTTTTTAAGGTAATTTGAACTTTAATTACATTACATAAAGTCAGCAAGGAAGTCAAGCAGTAATGTGAACGTATTACATTTATTATTTATTATTTCAATTTTGAAGGGTGCTGGTGATATTACAGGCACGTGGGACTTTTCAACTTATGTTCCAGCGTGACGGACGCAGTGACAGTGTCCCGTATCTCATATCTTATCTTATATGTCATATCAATACGATTTAAAATTCTGGGCGCCACTGGCACCAGCCGCACGACTTGTTTATCCCGTCATCGTCACTTGGAAATATAAAACAAATTATGTACAGAAGATGCAAATCCTTATACATGTGTGAATTTTCATAAAATAAGTAAGTTAACTCATTATAGTCTAATATTTTTCATGCATTTTTCAATGGCATCATATACCGGGTTGTAACTGAATCGTTTTTGATACACACATGAATCTGTTTATTGGATTCCACCGCGGAAAGACACATATAATGTGACATATGTATGTAGAGATGGGAAAAACTGCTTATTTTTTTAAACGTTTAAACGTTATACGTTTTTAAAAAAGCGTGCTTTTTTAAATGCTTTTTAGTTTAAAGCTAACAAAATCGTTTAGAAAACGTTTAAGCGCATAGACTTTTATGTTGAAAAAGCTTGCAACGTTGATAGCGAAACGCAAGAGTAGACCACTAAAGGTTTTAAGATAAGTAAGCTTTTTTGTAAAAAAAACGAGTTATATTTTTGTTTATGACAACATTATTATATTAACATTTTGTTAACTGGCGTTTAAAAGCGTTCAAAAACAGTTGTTTTACTTTTGTAGTTGTTAACCGTTGAAATGGAAAAAAACTGCTTATTTTATTAACGTTAAAACGTACGTTTAAAAAGCGTGCTTGTAAAAGCGCTTTTCACTTATGCGCTTTTTAGTTTGACGCTTAAAAAGTCGTTTAGAAAAACGACTAAGCGCATAGACTTTATGTACAAAAAAGCTTGCAACGTTATGTTCAATTAATTTGTTTAGAAAACATAGTTGGCGCTATTTGAAACTTAGGCACGTTGTAAAAATGAAAGCAGACTTTTTTTAAGTGCTTTTCGTTTAAACGCTCACCTCTATATGTATGTTTATTATGTTTGTTTTGGACTATATAAATTAAATATAACATTTTAGCTTATATGTTGTTTTATTTTAAGTGTAGCACAAACCTATATTAAATGTAGTATAAACTTAATCTTATAAAAAATGTCATTTGTGCTTTTTTTCATATCGACGTAGGCAGGATATTACGTAGGCAAAGATATTCAACGCCTAAAAAGTTAGTAGTATAAACAATTTCATAATCAAAGTTTTCTAACCGATAATCCACCTTAAGTAGAAAGCTGGGCTGTAAGTATTGAACATCGAATTTTAGATGGACACTATCGGCCATAATCAACCATCGGTTTTGTAGAACACCTTCTAGACATTGCAGCGCTTCTAGAAATTGTATGAAAAGTGATTATTCACCGCGATATTACATATGATAAAAGTGATATTCAGCGCGAGATACCTATTAGCAGCAGCAGCGCAGCGCGTCTAACAACGGCTAATTTGAACGCGCCCTTACGCGCGCGACTTTAAGCAAGCGCGATGCAAACGCGATGCAACCGCGATGCAAACGTGATACAACCGCGATGCAAACGCGATACACGTTTTAAATTAATTAACTAATTTGTGTATTTATTAATTTCACTTTTTAATTTACAATTAACAAAACAAAATAAAACAGATTTTTCGTATATAATTATTCAAAATAAGCGACTGTATGTAATCAGTCGCGCGTTTGCATCGATGCAGTCGCTGCTAAAAGTCGCCATGTGTATCCACTCTTAGCGACAAAATATAAAAGGTACGATTGAC